TCGCGGCGCTGGAGGCGAAGCTCGCGGCGGCCGAGGCCGCGCTCCGCGAGAATCAGCCCGCGGACGTCGCGGCGTTGGAACAGAAGCTCGCGGCGGCCGAGGCGGCCCGCGACGCCGCGCAGAAGGAGGCCGACGGCGCCGTCGACGACCTGGCGGACCTCGAGGACCGCCTCTTCGCCGCGGAGGCGAAGCTCAAGAAGCCTCCCGGCGATTCGGACGACGACGTCGCGCCCGCCCCCACGGCCGCGGACCTGAGCCCCGCGTCCCTGAGCGCCGACGAGGGCATCATGGCGGCGATCATGGCCGAGCGCGACATGCTCAAGACGCGGCTCAAGGAGCAGGAGGACGCCGTGAAGCACGCGGACGCGGTGGTCGCGGACGCGGCGGCCGTCGAGGCGCGCCACGCCCGGGAGATCGAGGGCCGCGAGGAGAGCCTGCGCCAGCTCGCCGCCGACGCCGACGGCGCCGCCGAGGAGGCGGCGCGGGCGACGGCGGCGCTCGCGGACGCCCGGGAACCGCTGGAGCGCGTCACCGCGGAGCGCGACGCCGCGGTGAGCTGTGTGGAAATCAACCAGTGGAATGGACGCGTCCAGCAAAACTTCAAACCTCTCTATCTCGGTCAAATCGAAGTCGATTCGGCTGATTTTTGGACGAATCGATTGCTCTCGTCGAGTTCTCGAAGCACGGCCGAAGAGCTTGCATCGAAACTGTCGCATACGCGCACATTGAAGTCGGGTTGAAGATTTGATTTCCACACAGGCGGTCGACGACGTCCGCACGGTCTACGCGGACTTCCAGGAGCTCCAGGCCCAGGCCCAGGCCATGTACGGCGAGCTCGAGGCCGCGCGGGCCCAGCTCGCGGCGTCGGCCAGCGCGCCGGCGACGCCGGGGCCCTTCGACGGCGGCGCGGCGCCCGCGCCGGGCCCCTTCGACGCGCCGCCCGCCGGTTCGGCGGCCGCGCCCGGCCCCTTCGACGCGCCGCCGGCCGAGTTCGCCGACGTGCCCCTGACGCCCGCGGGCGGCGACGCCGTGCCGCGGGGCGCGTTCGAAGCGCTGCGGGGCCTGCTCGACGCGTCGAACGCGGCGCTGG